GGCGCTCCGCCACCCAGCGCCGCTGCTCCCAGCCCACAGGGCGAAAGAGGCTCGATTCCGGGGATCCCGGAGACCCAGCCCTTGCCCTGAGGTGCCCCCCGTCCCCGCTCTTGTCCCTGCCAGCTGCTGCGAAAGCCTCCGATTCCCTCACTGGGGCAGAAGGGGAAGCCCGAGGCCGGGCGGGCCTGTGGGGTCTCAGTGTGCTTGGGCAGAGGGTGGGATTCTCAGGTCTGCGGGCGGGCGGGCGGCAGGCATGCGGGGGAGGTCCCGTGTCCACCCCCCCCCCCCCCCTCCCCGGCAGCTCACACATCTCAGCCCGCTGAAGTCCTGAGGGAGGAGGCCTTTTGATTATCCTCGCCATTAACCTCCTGACCCAGGAAGTTCTTCCTCAGAGCTGAGCTCCATACCTGTCCTCTCCAGCTCTTGGGCACGTTTGTGATCTTACTGGGCTTGGAGGTGGCAAAGCCATTTCCGTGGTTCAGCCCAAAGCGCCTTCCCAGAGATAGCGGTGGACCTCAGCAGGGAAGCAGGGAGAGTCTGTGAGGTTCCCAGGCGGAGGGGAGAAGGCGAAGGGACTGTGTGAGTGCTCTGCCTGGGCCAGGCTCTGTGCCGGGAACTCACTGGGAGGTTGAATGAGAAGGTGGTCTCCATTCCACAGAGGGGAAAACTGAGGCTCAGGGAGGGGGGGATCATGGCTAATAGCCACCTGCGCAGCCTGTGAGGTAAGGATCCTTCCAGGTCCCCTCCCGGGAGAGGCTCTCTCTGACTTAGCTTGGAATTGTGCTGTTTGCCTTATTTTATGGATGGAGAAGGATATTAAAATAAAGGGCCCCAGAGGTCTTATGTCACCACAGGAACCACGAGGGTCATACAGATGCAGCGTGAAATTCCAGAATTGGTGTGAAGGGGGTGTCTGAAGGAGACTGATTGGAGGAGGGGGCTTGGGCAGGGTTTCGAGGTGGCTGGGTTGTGCAGAAGCCAGGCTGTGTCTCTGAGGGTCTGGACCTAACACTTCTTGATGGGTCGGGGCTATGGAGGAGGGAGCAGCTGAGGACCAGGAGGTGGGATTGCGGGGGGAGGTCTGAGTCCCCAGCTTCAAGAACAAACAAAGGAAGGAGCAGCAAGTCAGATCCTGCCTGACACTTAGCTGGCATGTGCTAAGCCTCAAACAGCCAGCTACCTGTGTGTGTGTTCACACGAGAGAGTACATTTGCCTCTCTGTACAAGTGTACAAGTGGCTGGCTCTTTACACCTTGTACATGTGAGTGCCTGTACCCTGGTGTGCGTATGAATTCACGCATCTGTGGCTTCACTGATCTGTGTGCGTATGTGTCTGTTCACACGTAGAATGCCTGGGAACACCTGTCTTTTCATGTGTCTGTGCATACGTGCTTTTGTGTGCATGTCTGCACGGCACAGCAGTGTTCCAGCTTCTGTGTGTGTGTGTGTGTGTGTGTGTGTGTGTGTGTGTAGATTCCGCACCCTGCTCTAAGTGGGGGAGGTGAGGCCAGTTATAATGAGCCCCCACCTCCCCTCTGCTGAGCTGCAGCTATGGCCTGAATTTTGCAGCCTGCTTAAAAATAATTGGGGGCAGCGGGGGGATTGGATGTCACTCATCATCAGCTCCCGGCTTCGCTGGTGCTGCAAGCAGGCTGGGCGGGCTGGAGAGTTTGGGACACGCATGATGTGGGGCAGGGAAGGCCAGGGCTCTTGTGTCCCTTTTTCAGTTCTGGCGGGAGGAGTGGAGACACAGCCTGTTCTGACTTCTGCCCGGTAACTCCACGCGGGTTTTTGGAGGAGGCTGGGGTGGCTCCTCCCCAGGAAATGAGCCTGCCTTGAGCTTGTCCCCCTATGCCCCCTTTATCCTATGGCTGGAGAGGGGCAATTGCGGGATCTGGGGCAGTGAGGAGTTCCACGGATGCTGCGCAGGGATTGGAATTCTGGGGTTCTAATTCCTGCCCTCCCCCCCTCACCCCTCCAGTCACTGTTGAGGCTCCTAAAGAGCCAAGGGGAAATCTGTGCCTGGGGAGCCTCTGGGTCTTGGGAACATCTGGCCACATCTGTGAATTATCCTGTTTGTGACTCCGTTCCCAGGGCTAATGGCTTGTCCATCAGGCCTGAAGCCTGGGCAAGGAAGGGGACGCGGAGCAAGAGGCTATTGGTGGATGAGAGGGAACCCCGGGCTGGGGCTTCGGGTCCCGGCTTCCAGTCCCAGCTGGATCACTCTTGTGTGATCTTGAGCAGGTCGCCTCCCCTTTTGGAGCCTCATCTTTTCTCCTCTAATGTGGAGCAACCAGGCTCTAGGGGCCCATCCAGTGCTGTGAGCTATGCTGCCGGCACGGAGGAGGGAGGCAGTGGGGATCACCTCGGGCGCAGGGCTGGAAGCAGGACGGAGCCAGCCCAGGTGCCAGGCTCTGTTTTCTGGACAGCTAGGGTGGAGGCTGTGCAGGCTGTGGGTAGTGGCTCTGGCCTAGCCCGGTGGGTGGGAGGGTACCTGCAGGTGCCCTGCCCGCTAGGTTTTGTCCACTCGGGCCTGACCGCCCTGCGTGTCTGTCACGGTATGGCCTGAGCCCTGGTTGCCTGCCCACACCTGGAGCACATGCTGGGGGTTCGGCTCAGTGCAGCACTTGGCAGGGAGGGAGAAATCAGTGAACCCCGGTCTCCACTCCTAGGAGCTTGAAGACTCCTGAGATGAATGAGCTAGCTCGGGGGAGACAACAGGGGATAGAGGTGCTGACTGGGGCTATGGACTTGCAGGCAGGGGCTGCGGGAGCTGCGAGCTGGGCGATAGCTTGGTGGCCTTACTGGGGTAGCGGGCCCTGAGCCAGGCCTTGGACGAAAACCCCATGGCAGGAAGGGAAGAGGGATTAAGGGGAATACTGCACCCATTTTGCAGGTGCCTCGCCCTGTTGTTTCCACCAGGAAATCCACCACAGCGGTACTCATGACATTCACACTTGCGATGCCCCCCAGGGGCATGGCTCAGGTTGTGCGCAGCCCCTGGCACACCGGTCGTAACTCCTCCCCTTTCTCGCCCACTCAGTAAAAGCAGGCGAGTGAGAATGACATTGTTCCGGGAATAACCTTGAATTGCTCTGATTTATAAAAAAGCAAATCGTTGTCAAACATTGCTCCTTTGACAATTACCGCTGGATTACGCGTGACACGCCTCACAGCTGATCACGATACACTGCGACTGAGAGCAAGGGTTCTGGAGAATTCCAGTTGGGTGGTGGGGATGGGGCTAGATCCAAGTGTCAGGCCGGGTGCCTTTGGCTGGTGGGACTGACCGAGGAATCACAGGGTGACAGAGACAACAACGGATGTTTCTTAAGGGCTTCCAGAGTCAGGCACTCTCCCACGTGCCTACATTTTACAGGTAAGGGGACTGAGGCTCTAAGCAGTCGAGTCCCCCGTCTAAGATCACACAGATGGAGGTGGGTGACTTCAAAGTCTTCCCCGAGAGGCCCACCCCCGGCAGCGAGGAGGCCGCGGGAGACTGAGAGCTCATGCTGGTAGTGCCTGGGACCGCTGACCGCCGTCTCTCTCCACAGGGCAAGGGACATAGGATGACCCCAGCCTGTCCCCTCTTACTATCTGTGATTCTGTCCCTGCGCCTGGCCGCCGCCTTCGACCCCGCCCCCAGCGCCTGCTCCGCCCTGGCCTCGGGCGTGCTCTACGGGGCCTTCTCACTGCAGGACCTCTTTCCCACCATCGCCTCGGGCTGCTCCTGGACCCTGGAGAACCCTGACCCCACCAAGTACTCCCTCTACCTGCGCTTCAACCGCCAGGAGCAGGTGTGCACTCACTTTGCCCCCCGTCTGCTGCCCCTGGACCACTACCTGGTCAACTTTACCTGCCTGCGGCCTAGCCCAGAGGAGGCGGTGGCCGGGGCGGAGGCAGAGGCGGGGTGGCCAGAGGAGGAGGAGGAGGCCGCAGCGGGGCTGGAACTGTGCAGCGGCTCGGGCCCCTTTACCTTCCTGCACTTCGACAAGAACTTCGTGCAGCTGTGCCTGTCGGCAGAGCCCTCGGAGGCCCCGCGCCTGCTGGCGCCTGCCGCCCTGGCCTTCCGCTTCGTTGAGGTCTTGCTCATCAACAACAACAACTCCAGCCAGTTCACCTGCGGCGTGCTCTGCCGCTGGAGTGAGGAGTGCGGCCGCGCTGCCGGCCGGGCCTGTGGCTTCGCCCAGCCAGGCTGCAGCTGCCCCGGGGAGGCAGGGGCTGGTCCCGCCACCACCACCACGCTTCCAGGCCCTCCGGCTGCCCACACTCTGTCCAATGCCCTGGTGCCCGGGGGCCCGGCCCCACCCGCTGAGGCCGATTTGCATTCAGGGAGCAGCAATGACCTGTTCACGACCGAGATGAGATATGGTGAGTCTGAGCAGGGCCCTGGTGGGGTTGGGTGTGCCCAGGGGGCCCTCTGGGGCCCGTCTTGGCAGATCCCCAGGCCATTCGTATGGTCCTTCACCCGTGTCCCCTCTGTGTCTGTCCTTGTCCCGATGTTGGGGTTCCCTGAAATGGATTTGGGTTAAACCTCACTCTCGAAGAGTTTGCAGTCTAGGTGGGTGAATGGGGGGGCAGAGATCGGCCAATGCGGTGTGGTGAACCCAGGGAGAGGACTCCCCACACTGGGCAATCAAGGAAGGCTTCCTGAAGGAAGTGATACAGGAGCAGAGATCTGAAGGACAAGTGGAAGCCAGCGAAGCCAAAGAAGCGGGGAAGGCATTCCGGGCAGAGGGAGCAGTGTGAACAAAGGCCCCAAGCTGGGAGTGACCGTGGCAGGTCCTGGCACTGCAAGTTGATAAGTTTGCCTGGAGGCTGCAGAGTAGGCAGGGAGCAGGGATGCGTTCCTGTCCTCACAGGTCAGTGATTTTTGGCAGTGGCCCCAGGGTCAGGGCAGAGGGCGGTGCCCAGGTGAAGAGGCCTGGGCTTCAAGGCTGCCTTGGAGGGCTGGGCTGGCTCAGCTCCCAGCATCCCCTCTCTCCCCCTCTGGGCCCATGTCTTCTGGGACCGAAGCTGCCAGCAGCTAGAGCTTCCTGCTGACTGGGCAAAAGCTCTGCGAGCCCTGAGTCCTACATGCTCTTGCTCCCACCCCAGCTCCCTCACCACAGCCACCTTCTGCCGGCCCTCCTTCCTGCAGCTTCAAGGCCCCTAGCCCCTCATCTGGATCTCATGTGCCTGCCGCACAGTGCCGGGCCCGAGACTGGCCAGGGGGCCTGGCAGGGAGTGGGTGGGGGGGAGGCAGATCTGGGTTCCGGTCCCCAGCTCTGGTACTAAAAGGGAGTTCCCTTCCCTCTCCGGGCCTCGGTTTCCCCATTTGGGGTAACAGGTCCTGGCCTACCATCATGAGGATGTCATGCAGGGCTGGAAGTCAGAAGAGGCATCTAGGTCTGCCTGAGAGTATTTACAGGGAGGCAAGGGGTCTTGTGTGAGGGCCACTAGGAGTGTTGGAGTATGACCTGTCCCCGCCCCTGCTTTGGAGGCCAGAGCCCTGGAGTTGGGCACTGCTTTTGACTGTTCCCTTCAGCGGATCCCATTTTTTGGCATCAGTTTCTTCATCTGTAAAATGGGGAGATATCTCTGAATTAATTAGAGGGGCTAGTTATCATGACAGCAGCCTCTCCCAATGCAGTGTGGAGGGGGCTTTCAGTCTCCCCCAGGAGACATCTGGCACCATGCCTCTCCATGGCGAGTGCCCAGTGGCCTTGCTCTGGCCTCTCCCCCTGGCCAGCTTGGCCTTTAACATTGGTCGATGAAGCCGTCCGAGTGACAGCAGGCCGTGGGCAGGTTATGGGCCTTGGAGGCCGGCCTGGGATTTAGTGCCTGCAGGAAGAAATTGAATTTCGCTTCTTTGTCGAACATCGGCGGAGAGCGCCAGGCGTATATCAGGAGGTTTATGGTTCTTCCTGCCTGGTGGTCACTGCCTATCACTCTGTGGGGGCCTCCCCCATCGTGCTCAGCAGAGGGCAGCCTCTTTTGTCTGGCTTTCCTTGTGGTCCCTTGGCCCAGTGGTCCGCAGTGGATGGAGCAATGCTTTACCCTCATGGGCGGGCACATCTGGGCAGGCTGCCATGTGGAGCACAGAGCCAGGAGCAGCCAGCTGGGCTTGGTGGAAGCCGGAAGGAGGAGTTGGTTGGTAGTTGGGGTGTCTTTGGGGGTCAGGGAGGGCTAGTGATGGGAAGGCCACCATGGTCCCCATCATCATCACAGCCTCTGCAGGGGCCTCTGAGACTGGGGATGGGTGGAGATTGGATGCTGCCTGTTCTGGGCATGAGGCCTGGTATCATCTCTGAGCAGGGAGCCCTAGGCTCCCAGCTGTTCCACGCCTGACCTCAGCTCACGCCCCTTGTCCTGCTTGGCCTGTTTTCAGGCTGTTCGTGGGGGTTGCCTGCAGGGAGGGCCCTTATGGGGAGTTGCAGGGGGTGAGGTGACATCGTCTTCCTAAGTGGGCTTGCACAGCACACTGCTGCCCAGACTTCCTTCCTCTCCCCTGGCAGGCAAGAGACTTTTCCTCTCTGCCATCTCCTCCCTTCTGCCCAATCTCTTAGGGGCAAGAGACAATGGACATAGGGCTCAGTTCGTTCCATGTGTCAGGGGACGTCTGAGGGCCAGGGCATCATCAGGGCTCAGGGCACTTTGTGCCTGGTGGCAGCGCCGCCCCCGGCCCACCGGGCCGGCTGGACACAGGTACCAGCCACGGGAGAACCGGTTCACACATGGAACTGCCAGATGGAGGACAAGATTGGTGGTGAGCAGGAAGAGGAGGACCCTTGTCCCAGCCCCTCTGCTAGGTACTGCAGCAGGGGAGTTGTGCTCCCCTTCCCTGGGACACCCGGAGTAGAGTCAGTGGCCTGGCCAGGTGGAGTGGGGCTGGGTTGCTACTGGGAGAGCCATGAGGCCGGGAGCTGGTGGGCCGCGCCGGAGTGCAGTGCCCGGGCCCGCCTCAGAGCCGAGTGCGTTTGACAAGAGGGCACGGGCGCCTGTTAATTTCACGCAAACTGCCTTTGATAGATCTCTTGTTATTTTTGGTGAGTTGAGCCATAAATTTGTGCCATCTTGCTGCCGCAATCTGTTAAGTGGGGAGAGAGGAAGAAAGGGAAGGCAGGCAGGAAGGAGCTCGGTGGATGCCGGCTGAGGCCGGGGCAGGAATCGGGGGGAAGAGGTAGAGCTGTCACCCTGCAGTTCCTGCCCACAGACCCTGAGACCTGATGAGGCCCTGGCCAGGGGTGTTGGCTGTGCCGAGTGATACCTGGGAGAAGGGGTCTTTTGCTCTGGCAGCCCTCCCCCTCCTCTCCCACACGCCCTGCCCTCCCCAGAGCCACTGTCCCATCCTTGGCCAGTTGCTGCTCACCCACCTCCCCATCATCCAGGCTCCATTCCTGAGGCAAGAGTTCAAATCACCACTCTGCCACTGCTGCTGGGTGACTTGGACAAGGGGGCTGCCCCTGGGGGCCTCAGGACCTCCCATCATCTGTGCATCACTTCCCTGATCCAACCACCAGACTCCCCATCATGGCCCAGACTCTTGAGCCTGGCCTTCCAGCCCCACTCCAGACCCCGCTGCCCCCTGCTATTCAGCCTTCACTCCAAATCTGTCCTGCCCTTGACTGGGGCTCCTCACTGGCTCCCCGAGCCCCTGCTTTCTGGACTCCCTGCCTTTGCTTGGGATGTTTCCCTCACCTGGAATGCCCTTTACCCTTGGTTATCCAGATCTTCCCCATTCTTCCCAGCGCTGTTCAAGCCCTGTTTCCTCTGGGAAGCTACTTCTACCTGGCCAACCCAGTCCTCGATTGGTCCTTCTCCTCCCAGCGCTCAGGCCCTGCTGTCCTCTTCTGGCCAGCCTCATCTGGTGGCAGGAAGTGCAGCCTTACCTGCTTGTTTGGGGCTCAAACACTGGGGAGGCCGGGCCTCTCTCAGGGCGGGAGCAGGAGGGCAGGGAGACCTAGCAAGGCTGTACATTTCCTAGAAGGACCTTCCAGCCCCAATCTGTGCTGCTGGAGCTCTGTGTGCTCCGTCACAGGATGGGGAGGGGGGCCCAGATTCCTGAGACATCGCAGCAGGGGCCCAGTCGCAGCCCATCCATCACGCACATCTTCATGTCTCTAACAGGGTGGAGTTTGTGCCAGGCCTTGGGTCGGCTCTGAGTGAATGAGATCCGAGGTGAACCAGACACACCTCCTGCCCTCTGATGGGGGAGCGTGACCACTAGTGTACGGCTTTCAAGGTCAAGGCCACAGGCCGAAGTCGCCCAGCCCTGGGTTCAGTTCCCAACCCCACTACTGACTAGCTGTGTGACTGTGGGCAAGTTTCTTCACCTCCATTTTATCACCTGTAAAATGGGGCTAGTAGAGCTATTCACAGAGTAATTAAGCAAGAGACTGTGGGTCAGTGCTTAGCACAGTCCCTGGCACATGGTTAATCCCTAACAAATCACTGCATGTTGTCCTAATTTAGTGCAGTAGGTATGATGTACATGGGCTAGATGTCAAGGGAGCAGGAAGAGTGAGGGATTCAACCACAAAGGGGTGGGAAGGCCGTCTAAAGGAGGTGATTCTGAGTTGAGTTTTGAGGAGTGAATAGGAGTTCACTGGCCCGTGAAATATTTTTTAATTGAATTGCTTTTAAAATTTAATATATTAGGAAGAAATTTCACATCATAAATGGGAAAGGAGTATCACTTATTTGAAGTAGAGGATAACAGAAGAGACAACCATAGTGAAAACAAAGTGACAGTAGTAAATTCTCACTAGCTGCTCGTCTCTCCTCTCGATTTGTTAGAAAGAGAAATGAGCATGTGCTGGGGACATGTTGAAGGCTCGGACTGCACAGAGACTTTATCTTTTTTTTTTTTTTTTTAAGAT